GTTCCAGTACAAGAAGCTAATGAAGGGAAAATCGGTTATTGTAAAAAAAAAACTTTTAAATCCTTGCAGTTCTGAGCAGACCAATTATATTAAATAGATTTAGCATAACTCATCCTTGATATATTACATCACAATTTTATAGTTTTTTTTTTTTTTTTAAATTAAAAACATTTGTTTATTGTTTCCGATTACACACCGAAAATACGTCCTAGGTAAATATGTCTATTTTATATCCATCTGCGCAATTAATAAAACAATTTCATTAAAGGGCCAACGACACTGACCTTCACTGAATATTAGATGAATAGTTCGTTAGCTTTGTATTTCAGGGGCACAACATTAATTCCCATTGTTGAGAATATCTTCAATTTTGGCCACTTCACGAAGTCAATAATTGTTGGACAAGACAAAAGGAGAGAGAAAGGAACACTCGATTAGTTGGTTCATACATAAAATAAACAATATTCAAGGTTAATGGAATAGAGTGGACAGAGAAACATGTGTGTGCAGCCACTGAAAAACAGGAGAAGGTAGAATTTGCTGGGGTTTGGAGAATGATGTTGACAAGGATTTTTTAATTCTGACAACATTTTAGATTTTATGCAAAAACTAGCTGAACCCGGTGCGCTTCGCTACCCCTTTTGATATTATATGCATTCAACATTTTATATACGAATAGCTGAACCTGGTGCGCTTCCTTGATTTTATATGAATTCAAAATGTTATATACAAATATTTGTTGGTTAAAAAAATAAAACAAACTCAAAAATTTCAAAAACGTAATTATTGTAATACTTTAATGCATAAACAAACAAGTAGCTCGGTCTTCCAACGCGTGAAAATGCCAGAAACAGCTGACCATGAGAACATGCCAAATTAAGTCCGCATACACGAAGGGTTTGCGCTTCGGATTTATTAATTTCATAGCAAATGCCAAATGCGCAGGAAACTGCAATCATTTGAAGTTGAGTGGCTTTTCTGTTGCAATTAGTGAATTCGAGGTGGAAACATACTTCCCCGTAATATAGTATCCTCAATTAAATTTTTGTGTAGTTTTCAACTTTTACCGTAATACCATTGCAAAGGCGTTGTGGGTCAATTCCCAATCTGAACCGACGGAAAATATTATTGTAAATCTGTACTGCTTTCAATATAATTTGGGAAATTTATTTTTATTTTAAAGTCCAAATTTGGAGACTATATCTGTAAACGATCAATAGATATGTGCATATAAAATCGAAATTTTTGGGAGGTACATCCGATTCTGATGCTATATCTCTAGTTCCAAGTGGAATTTCAAAAATATATATAGCTTATGTTTTTTTTTCAGGCGATGTAGTAGTATACTTGGAAATTTTCAGAAAAATCTGTTCAGTGGTTTTCGAGTCCATAAATTATAAACAAACAAACATACAAACACTCTCCTCTTTTATAGGTATAGAGATATCGATGGAAGTAACGAAAAAGTGTCTACATACGCGACATATTATTTTATACCCCACGAGGTAGTAACTTCTGGGCGATAGAAAGTAGACAACAGTATTTTTGTTATTGTAAATGTACATACTATCGCATTTATTACTGGCATCTTAGATGTGAGTGAGTAACTCACTTCAAAATGCATGCAGGGTTATTATCCATATGTATTTCCGTGTGTATGTAAAAATTGCCTTTTTACAAATGATGCATAGTTTTTGATTACGTCATAAATTCCCTTTATATTATCTACTTCTTCTATATATATATAAAAAGCAATTGTTGTTCGTTGGTAATGGAATCAGTTGAGAACGGCTGAACCGATTTGCATAATTTTTTGTACAAACGTTCAAAAAATGACTAAAAAAAATGACTACGCCCACTATTTCGATTTATCTAAAATCCTTATATTTGCCAAATAATGAAGATATCGGTTTTAAAATTTTTACACGACATACTGTAGACTTTACCTAAATCCTAAGTATTTATTTGGGGGCAGAGGAACTGACCACGCCTACTTTTTATCTGTATATAAACCAATTGTTATTCGTTGGTAATTTAATCAATTGATACCGGTTGGAACTATTTGGATATTTTTTAATGTTCGTTCTACCCCGATTTATGCCCATTTTTTCGATTTATCTAAAATCTTAATATTTGCCAAAATCATGGAGATATCTCTTCCACAGTTAGTATACGAAGGAGACTTGACTCTCCAACCCTCCCTCAATCCTAGATATCTGTTTGGGGTCATGGGAACTGGCCACACCTACTTCTTTAAATTTATATGTAAAAAAAATTGAAAAAGTATATTAACATATGAGTTGAGAACGGCTGGGCCGATATGACTCCAATTTTCTTTTGGCTATTTGTTATTACAGTGGAAACGTTGTCATGAAAGAAAATTTTGAGAAAAATCGCGAAACTGAAAAAATTGACTGTTACATTATGATTTGGAATTTTGTGTAGAATTGTTTCAGAATTCCTTTTGGAATTGAAAATTCTAATTGAAGAAAATCGAGAAAGTTTGCATATTTTCTATACACGCTGTTATATGGTTGCTATACCCAAATGGGTAGAGAACCATCTGACATGGGCATATTATAAACAGTTAATGTATACTTTTTATACCCTACACCACAAGGTGGTCAGGGTATTATGTCTTTGTGCATTTGTTTGTAACAGGCGAAAGGAAACGAGATAGACCCATAGTTCCTTTTGATGATCTGCATAGAATAATCGGTCTAAACTTAGATATAGCTCCCATATATATTTTCGTCCGATTTGCTTTTTATTGTGCGTCAAATGTGTAATATCAGTCCGAATATTATGGAATTTTGCACGTACGATTAGATTGGACCTGAAAATAAGTATGCCAAATTTGATCGAAAGCGGTTCAGATATCCCATATATATTGTTCATCCGATTTGCTATTTTTGTCCTCCGCAGTCGTAATATGCACTCCGTAACAACGATATTCAGGGAAATATATCAAATGCATTTTTATCGAGATCAGTTCCGATTTGGATATAGCTCCCACATATATTTTTATCCGATTACAAATTAATTGTGCACCAAATGGGCAATACAAGTCCGAATTTAAAAGATACAAATGCTTCGGCATATTTAGTCCTTTGAACTTTAAATTATAATTATAATCATAGCGTGTATGATTGAATTCTCCCATAAACACTTTTAATTGTTATGTGGAGCTCTACTAAATTAGAAAGTGGTGTAGGGTATCATAAATTCGGCCCCGCCCGACTTTAAGACTTTCTTTACTGGTTAATATATATGCTATACTAGGTGGCCCAGTCCGCGTTGCTGGCCCGTTTCAATTTGAGAGTTAAAAACCTCAATAATATAGCATATATATTAAGAAGTACACATTAACTGTTTATAATAGGCCCATGTAAGATGGTTCTCTACCCCCAAAGTAGCCTCAACACGCATTTTAAGTCAAATCAATTCGAAAATATAATCAAAACCAACGAAATAGGTAAAATCAAAGGTAGTTTTATATGAGCGCTACTACGAAACATTAACATTGAAAAATTTCCGCGAAGAGGTCTTCTACCAGAAGCTAGATGCCAAATAAAGGCAAAATCAATTGAAAAATGTGACCAAGATCCTGGTAATAGCTAAAATCACCGGATACCTTCAAATACGAGTTATAATGAAGCATGGTCCTATACTTTTAATTATTTGAAAGAATTTGTTTTTCTTTCTAAAATCTCAAATTACCAACATTTGAGGAATTTGAAAGGGGCTATATCATTTGAGGGGGGCTATATCACATTGTAGACCAACCTGATAGATATTTTGTACAAATGATTCCTCATGTAACCCCTAGAACTGTATCAAATTTAAAACTTTATCGTAACTTTTGCGGAGTATAGGGCAAAATAGAATTTTTTTTTTTAGAATTTTCCGAGTACATGAATCCTGTTCTTACTATATTTTCAATTCACTCCACTATTTTGTATAGTCCTCATATTACAGTGCCTCTTCATATTCCTTATTCCGGCCTGTGGGGGTAGAGAGCCATCTTACATGGACATATAATAAACAGTTAATGTATACTTGTTAATAAACTAAAACCTCTTACTGAAAAATAAGATCAGGTTTTTTTGAAAGAGGTATTTATTTCTATTTAATCGAGTCGTCATTTATACCAAAAATTTTTGCCACTTATGTGAGACAGATTTGTTAATTATTATGCTTTAAAAACTATGCATTAAAGACTAAAACTACGGACCGGCAACGCTGGCCCAGTCCGCGTAGTATTCTATAAAATATATTTATTCCTTAAAAATGTATTTTTATTGCAATTTTCATTTCATTTATTTTCACACAACAAACAAAAGACTATATTGGTCGTTCTGTTATCGACAAAGTACATACACTGTCCTGTATTTCACAACTGCGATATCGTATATGTATCACATGGCATGTTAGACCTCTACACATAAAAAATGTGACATATGTCAAATATCTTTCCTCCGATTGCGACTTTATATGTAATGTTAAAAAATTAAAATAATTAAAATAGAATATATAGATAACATTGGGCGCATGGCTCAATAAGAGAGGTTGTTCAACTTCAAAGCAACTCTATACTGGCGTCTTATTGTGTCATTCGACAAGTTGTTGTAGTTTCAGAAAATTCTTACATTGGGGAAAAATCCCAAAAACAAGATTGGAAACAGCATTGTTTTTATCCCAAAATGATACATTTGGTTGCCCGATAACGTAAAAAATATGCATTTCAGTTGTCTCCAAATTTGAAATAATTTCAAATTATTCTCTACAAACTGTTTATGTTTTGACAGAGTAGGGGCACCAAAAGAAAAACAAAATCGAATTTAGAGGGTAGCTTATGGCTCTTTAAAATAATGATGACATCAGTTCGGACACAGCTGTACTTTGAGTCAGTTGAGTCAACTTGAGTCGGCAATGTTCATATTTTCCATATGTTTACAAGTTAACTAAATTATCCTTTGGTGTTTTTTTTTTTATTTTAGAATATATTAATGCACCATGAATCGGTATATAACATTGACCCAACTGGGTGATGGCACCTACGGCACCGTGGTATTGGGTCAACGAAAAGATACCGGCGAAAAAGTGGCCATCAAGAGAATGAAACGGAAATACTATTCCTGGGAGGAGGCGATGAATTTGCGAGAAGTGAAGGTAATTAAGACATCAGTGTTCAAACCCATGCCACATCATGTTCATTTGTATTACATTTTTACCATCCAGTCCTTGAAGAAGCTATCGCATCCGAATATCGTTAAGCTAAAAGAGGTGATTCGTGAGAACGACACGTTGTATTTTGTATTCGAATACATGAAGGAGAACCTATACCAGATGATAAAAGATCGTGACACCCACCTGCCTGAGCCGACACTTAAGAGTATATTGTTCCAGGTATTATTTGTGTACGATGCTTTCAAGCTGAGAATTATTTACATGGATTTTGTGTGTGTTTCTTTTTTAGGTTTTAACTGGGCTGGCTTTCATGCATCGACATGGTTTTTTCCATCGTGATCTTAAGCCAGAAAATCTCCTTTGTTCCGGGCCAGAGTTGATAAAAATTGCTGATTTCGGATTAGCCAGAGAAATTCGATCTAGACCACCGTTTACGGATTATGTTTCAACCCGTTGGTGAGTAGGGGAAATTGTTTCAAATTTCATAATGAAAAGCCGCGAAAAGAATAAAATTAAAATGAACAAGTAAAAAAGCTGTAAGTTCGGCCGGGCCGAACTTTTAATACCCTCCACCATTTGGTACAAATTTGGCAATTTCCAAAAAATAAAACCCGTTAAAAATTCTGTTAAAATCTTAAAAATACCGAATGCTTATACGACGACGTGGGCCTGCATAGGCAACTTTTGTCATAAATTATTACAATATTTAAATGCGAAACTTGAAGAAAAATCTGTTTATAATGTAGCTAAAATCGTCAAAATACCGAATATGGGGGGTACCGTTATATGGGGGCTATACGAAGACGTGGACCTGCACAGACAATTTTCTGGCATGGGCTGAAGTATCCATTACGAACTTCACATACGAAATTTGAAACAATCCCTGTAAACAACGTCGCTAAAATCATTAAAATACCGAATACCGGGGGGTACCTACATGGCTCATTCTTTGACTTTGGATGAAGTATCCATTATGAACTTCAAATACCAAATTTGAAACAATTCCGGTAAATAATGTCGCTAAAATCATCAAAATACCGAATATCGGGAGGTACCGTTATATGGGGGCTATATGATAACTTGGACCTACATGGCCCATTTACGAACTTAACCTGCCTACTGGGAAAAAATACATGTGTGCAAAATTTTAGCCTTCTATCTCAATTTGTTCGAAAGATAGCGTGATTACAACAGACAGACAGACAGACAGACAGACGGACAGACGGACAGACAGACACACAGACAAACAGACGGACATGGCTAAATCGTCTTAGAATTTTACGCTGATCAAGAATATATATACTTTGTTGGGTCTGACATGAATATTTCGAGGAGTTACAAACGGAATGACAAAATTAATATACCCTCCATAGTATGGTGGAGGGTATAAAAACTTTATTTAAGAGAAATATTTAGATATAGCAAGTTGTAAAGAGTCGCTGTGTTGTTCTGTTATGACAGATAAAAGTAATGGAAATTGTGACTTTGTGTTTGTGAGGTACCAGAAGTGGTTCGCAAATGTACCCTCTGTAGCCATATGGCTGAGGGTATAAAAAGAGCACGAAATCGCGCTTATATCTTCAATTATGTTATTCTAATTGTTAGTTGTTTTAGGTATTACGCTTTCATTATCGAATCACTACTAGAAATCCATGATGACAGTGAATGGGTGTTTGGGCTGGAAAAACGGGTTCCTAATCATTTGTATCCCTGAACGTTAGATCTAACAAAGAATTATTATTAATTTTTTTTGTTTTTGTTATTTGCAGGTACAGAGCTCCAGAGGTTTTATTGCATTCAACCAATTACGGAAGCTCCATCGATATGTGGGCTATGGGATGTATTATGGCAGAGCTGTATACTTTTCGTCCGCTTTTCCCCGGCAGCAGTGAGGTCGATCAGCTCTATAAAATTTGTTCTGTTCTAGGAACACCCGACAAGGTAATGTCCTCAATCACTACTTCATTCAAGTACTAACCATGGGTAATGGAATCTTCCGTAAAATATATAATTTCAGAATGACTGGCCTGAGGGATATCGGCTAGCTGCATCCATTCACTTTCGGTATCCGGATTGTGTCCGGGTGCCTTTAAATTCCATTGTCACTCGTTGCAGCCAACCAGGTTTAGACCTATTGGAAGATATGCTGCTCTACGATCCGGACAAAAGACCCACGGCCCAACAAAGTCTCAAGTATCCATATTTCAATGCACTGAAGCGTATATCGCCTGCAGCGGCGACCAAGGCCAGCATAAAGCTTACTTCAAAGTATGCCAATAACGTAGGAATGACACTGCAACAGCAACAACAGCTGTCCAGCAATATGCTTCCGGTGCAAGAAAAACTGCAGTCGCTAACGGATATGATACATCGTAGCAACAATAACAATAACAACAACAATAAAAATACCACAAACAACAATCTGAATCGAAACGATCTAACAGAGGCCAATTTGCTGAACAACTCGAAAAATGGACACATCGTGGTCCAGCAAGCCAAAAATGTCAGCCATGTACAAATACCTAAGATAAGCTTTCTAACGATGAACACAAACGACCTGATGCATCCCGTCGCCCCCACGATGCGAATAACGACGAAACAGACAAAGCCCCCAGACGAAGGTTCTTCGGTGAAGAGTGAAACGATCCGATACAATACGATTTTGGCACCCTCTAGTAATATATACCTCAGTACCGGCAACCTCAACCAGAGCACGGATAATTTGGCCCGAACGGAATCTATAAATGATATATACTTGAATCGTAACATATCACACCTGTTCGGAATCAGCAGCCAGAAGCCCGCACAGGCTGCCACTCAACAACATCATCATCCGAATGTGTCGTTTCACAGTGGCAAACACCAGATGGTGGGAGGTGGGAACAGCAACAACAGCAATCGCACTGGAAACACCATCTACATGAACGGAACACGCAACTACGCTCTGTATGAGACAGCTGCAAAAAATGCCAAAAACTCTGCCAAAATTGGTGGTTACTATGTGTACACCAGACCCACACAGGACCCCTTCCCCTACGAGCCGACCAAAGTGTACAACATGTTTTCGAAAGTGGCCATGGGTCAACAGAACGGTTCCTCTGAGTTCATACTAAGCAGTTCTAACGGAAAGTCCAATTTGATGGGTAGCAAAATCTATGGTAACAACGATGACTATTCGGCACGATCGCGGGTCAAAGATACCGATAAGGCTGTATATCGGGGAGTTAATATGCCAAACAAACAATTCGACTCGGAGGTAGTCGAGAAAAATGCCGACAACGATGATGAATTGGACACAATACTGGGGTAAGAACACACACAGGGATGATAACGGATACAGTTGAAGAGTTAAGCAAGTGAAAGGGTGAAGATAAGATTTGAATGTATGTCCAAATGCTTTCCAACCATGACTCAACAAGAAAGGTTGTTCAGTTTCAAAGCAACTAGGAAAATGCAACTCCGTACTGGGGTCTTATTGTGTCAAATAGACATTGAACAATTGATTTTGTCTACAATAGTCTTGAGGGAGAACCCACAAAACCTAAATGAAATGATAGGGGTTATTCCACAAAATTGAGTCCAAAATAGAAGAACAATATTATTTTTATCTCAAAATTATACAATTTGTTGCCACTTAATGTCGGAAATATGCATTTCTGTTGCAACTGAATTTCAAATAATTTCAAATTCATTATAGGGTAAGTGTACCAGTAGTCGGCACTTTTAGGATTTTCAATTTTTCAATCTTTCAATATTCTGAGCGAAATCTTTAAATTGCTGAAAAATACAGTTGTTGGATTCCAAATTTTGTTTACTTTTCGAAATAATAAACAAAAATTGAATTTGTGTTTATTAAATTGGCAAAATTTGCAATTTTACTAAATAATAGTTTTTTGCCAGTAGTCGGCACCATTTTCCAATGCTCGGCATGTCTATTTGCCAGTAGTCGGCATATGGTATTTCAGTAAAAAAAAAATATTATTATGTATATTTTTTAATTTCAAATAGTATAAAACAAAAAAAAAAACAAATATTACTAATTCACAGTTTAATCCAGAATTTGAAATTAATTTCGTTTTTGAATAGTGTTTTATTTAATTATCATTCTAAACCAAATATAGATAGAAAATCAAGAATAGTATGGTTACCTTCAGTAACGTATGGATTTTCAATTAAAACAAAAATGAGATAAATAAAAAAAAGTACCTTTCTTATCTGATCTTTTTTCTTTAGATAGCCAACATTTTGTTTCAAAAATACCACCGCTATCTAAAACGTCACATAGCTGATTTAAAAAACCTACTTAATTTAGATAGTTGGTCAAAAGGCACAGATAAAAGCAACTGTCGACTCAAAACTATTTTTTTATTTGAGTAGTTTTTGGATTATTTTTTAATACTCTTCTCAAGTTTTGGTGAAATTGGTCAAAAATGATATTTTTCTCGTAATCGGCACCCCCTGCCGACTACTGGCAAATCTCTTTTTTTCTGTTCCTATAATAATATAACAGAAAAATGCTTGAATTGTACGTTTTTAAGTTATAAAATGATCTTTAGACTGTTATTTACTATTATAAAATGTTTCTGATTCCAAAAGTATTAAATTTAATTTACTTAAATCGATTATTAAGTTGACGCCACCACCATTTTTTTGTTCACAAACAAGCACTATCGCACGCTTTGGAAGGCAATCACTGACGAAACCCGTTATTCTCTCGTAATAAATGACCGGAGCTCATTGTTTTTTTTTACAGAAAGAGAGAAGAGAACACTGTTGAGGTTTTTCTTTGGAATTATTTCATTATTTTCTGTTCTTATTTATTTAAGATTAAATTTCAAAACTGCCGATTACTGGGACATGCCGAACATAGGCGCACTTACCCTATATGTTATTCTAAACAATACACCCAAAGGAATAAAAATTGTATTTTGGAGGTTGGTCAACTTCAAAGAGACTAGAAAAATGCAACTCTGTGCTGGAGTCTTGTAGTGTCAATAGACTTTTAAATATGCAACAGCTGGTTTTGTTTATTTTTAATTTTTAACAAAATTTTTATATGTTGTGGAAAACCCGCGAAACAAGAATGGAATTTCGGGGTTATTCCACGAGATGGAATCTAAAATAGTAGGACAATACAGTTAAATCACACAAATTGTACAATTTGTTACCCATTTACGTCGAAAATGTGCATTTATTTTGCAACCAAATTTGAACCAAAACAATACACACACATTCACAAAATGTGTATATGTTTTGACAGAATAAGGACGCCAAAAGAAAAAAATTGAATTGTTCTACCTTCTGTAATTGTACCATAGTTCTACCTTCTTTAATTGTGCCATGTTTACAACAATCCTAAATACCGGCACGATTGTTAATTTGTTTTATAAACTCTGAATATCGGGCGATACCGTAAAATCAGAACTATATCGTAACATGGATTTGTTATACGTTATTATATTGCAATTGAGAAGTCTAAATAGCAAATTGTACAAAAATTTTGGCTCAAAATAAAGCGATACCCTTAAAAATACCTAAAAAGGGAAATTTCATACCGAGTTGACATAGCCGAAATCAAACGGTGTCATTGTACCAATACGTGAACGGATATCATCTATTTTCTTTCACAAAAAATTGCAGACAAATTATGGCTATGGGCAAAGCTTCATGAACGTATATCTAGATCGATCGCGTCAAGGGTTAATATATTTTTTTCAGTTGCACCTATGCATAACGTCTTAGTATTAAGAATATTTACACTATATAGAAAGATTATTTCGATAAGTTACAATCGGAACGAAAATCCGACAAAATGTGAATGGTGTAATAAAACAGACATGGGGAATATTATTCTGTTGGGATCTAAATACTCTTGGTATTCAGATGATTTAAGCCACTTTTTTTTTAACTACTACTCTAGCAGGAAATCGGTACCATCGACTTTACGGTATTTTCAAGACTTGAAGATCAACCGATTCCACAGGTGAAAATAGAAGGGCATCCAAAATTCAAACTCGATTCTTTTATTTCGAAAGGTTTTCTTTACCTCATGGCGGATGATACTAAAACTTCGAACCTGCCGAACTCATTGTGTCTTAACTTGTTTAGGCCTGTTTTTGTATATTCATATATATTTGAGCGCAATTCGTCGGTGTTTGCTTTTTTTGTAGTTTAATCGGATGCATGATAAAACGATGGTTGAACCATGGTACAATAACAGTGGTTCTAAGTTGCCCGATTTCTGCCAACTTTGCGGATGTATTTATTGTTTTTTTTTACGAGCGTTCCCAACGCCACTCTTATCCCCCCTGCACACCGAGGAGGCCACCTCCCCATAATGCAGGGAGAGCATACATTCCATTATCCGGATTAGGGGGGGGGGGGTTAGTTAGGAAACTCCGGCTACATGAAATGCATCATAAGGATCAAATAGGACAACACAGATACATATATGCCAACTACCTGCATTTACTGCTGAAGACGCAGTATAGAATTTCTGATTACATTTACATGTAGGCTCTGACACAGAGATACCATTGTACAGGTTGATATATATTTCACATAATGATCTGAGCGGATTACTTAGCTCATAATTAGTTTTTACTAGAGGCAGATTAAGAGGGATATAGTTACGAGTAGACCGAGAGGGCACATTCAACTTTATTTCACTGATTAAGAATTTTGAGTCAATAGAACAACGTAAAAGTGTTATTAGAAATATTGCTCCAATCATTCAACGTCGCTGTTCTAAAGTTGGGAGATCAATAAGTTTTAAGCGGTGCTTGGACAGATTCAATTTTATTTGAATAGCATTTATAAAATGGGTAGCACAATACAGAACCATATTCCAATGTGGGCCGAACCGGATTGACAAACAAGAGTTAAGTCATATACAGATCATCGAATTCCTTAGACCAGCATTGTAATTTTAGAAAAGACATTATGATTTTAGAAAATTGAATTGCCGATGAAGGATCCTTCAAGTTTGGAACAAAAAGCAAAGGGCCTGAATGACTACCTTGAAGAACACCAGAATGTACATCAATAGTTTTAGAAATTATGTGACTGAAAGATACATGTTATGTCCGTTCTTGTAAATAAGAAGAAAACCATTATTGATGATTGACATGATGATACTGTTGGAAATCAAAGTCGACTTATCTTTGAGAAAACCATGTTGCTAAGGAGACATAATGGTTAAAACAAAATGAGTTATTCTACGTGAACCTAAGGATTGCACTCAATTTTCCAATTCCCCCATAATTTTCAATCACCTTCCTACCACCAGACTTATGTAAAATTACTATGTAGTTCGATCTCCAGAACAAAGGAAAATATCCTGAAACTAAAGAATCATTAAAAATATTAGTGAGTGGTTTGTACAGTTCGTATGCACAAATCTTTAGGATATTAGCAGGAACATCTTCCGGACCTCGGGAGCAGCAGTGCTTTAAAGAAGTTAAACCGTTCAGTCTTAGTAAGAACAATAAAACGAAAATAGTTTACTTTTTCAATGCTCTAAGAATAATATGAATAAAAAGTATAATTAGAGTAGAAAACCAGTAAAGAAAGTCTTAAAGTCGGACGGGGCCGACATTGGTTGTATGTGCAAAATTCCATACTATTCGGGCTGATATTACACGTTTGGTGCACAATAAAAGGCAAATCGGACGAAGATATATGTGGGAACTATATCTAAATTTTTACCGATTATCTCCAATTTCAATAGGGTTGGTCCTTGGGCCAAACAAATGATTTGTGCAAAATTTCATCTGGATCGGGCAATAAATGCGAACTTTACTTTGTTTACAAAAATACATGGGCAGACGGACGGACAGACAGACAGACAGACAGACAGACGGACGGACATGCATAAATCGACTCAGAATGTGAATCTATGCAGATCATCAAAAGGAACTATGGGTCTACCTCGTTTCCTTTTGCCTGTTACAAACTAATGCACAAAGACATAATACCCTGACCAGCTTGTGGTGTAGGGTATAAAAAAGAATTAGAAAAATGCATGCTATTTCTACTGAGGTGGATGCCTCTTTATTACCAAAGTTCATACTACCAGGGAATTATAGGACTCTTCTTTTTGAATTAAATTTAAAGTTTCTTTTCATTTTCGATAAATTGTTAGAGTAGCACTTTGAATTCGCAGTGTTGTAGTTGCTTCTAGCTTTCGAATAATTGGAATAATTTAATGAAGATTTGCATTTTTTTAACTTTTTAAATAATTTACTTTTAATATTCCATAATTTTCTAAGATAAGGAGTAGAACAAGCAGGTCCTTCCTCAGCACT